GGTGGGGGTAGAAGATCTCGGGTCCGTCTCCACGCTCAGCCGTCCACCCAGCCCTTCCCACCTCAGCAGCCGTCCGCCCAAGACTACTACATACCTCAGCCGGCCCAACCCTTCTCACCTCAGCATCAGTCCGCCCAGAACTACTATATACCTCAGCCGCCCGAGCCTCAGCAAGGTGAGATTTTTAAATTGAGAATTTTTTTTTTTCGGTCCAATTTATGATTTGTTTTTTCCAATTGAATTACACAGGTGATGATGACCAGACTTTTCAAGCTGACACGCTTCTCACACCTCAACCTCAATTTGTATATGTTCGGAGGGGGTCCAGACAGCGCAGGCCTCCGGATACATACACCCCTAATTAGTTAGTTGTGATGAATTCGTGAATTTTGTGTTTCATTTTCAGATGTTGGATTGTATGTACAAACTGAATTATATCGTTTTGTATATATTGTTTGTTTAACAAATTATTGTGTTTTTTTATTTGTTTTGTTATAGTGTATGCTGGATTATTGATTTTTGGGTAAAATTTGAATTTTAACAAGTTTTTTTCATTTTTTTTCTTTTAAAAACGTATTTAACAAATACGTTTTACTTTTAAATTAAATTTAAAAAATATGAAAAAATATAAAACGTATTTCATAAATACGTTTTAATGATTTAAAAATAAATAAAAAAAACAAAATCTTAAACGTATTTATGAAATATGTTTTTATATTTTAAAAAAATTAAAAAAATAATAATTTATAAACGTATTTAGGAAATACGTTTTGATAGTTAAAAACAATTTAAAAAAAAAATAATTTGAAAACGTATTTAGGAAATACGTTTTGATATTTAAAAACAATTAAAAAAAAAAATTTGAAAACGTATTTAGGAAATACGTTTTGATAGTTAAAAACAATTAAAAAAAATAAATTTGAAAGCGTATTTAAGAAATACGTTTTGATGTTGATTAATTTACTTAATTAGGATAATTAACGGAAACGTATTCAAGGAATACGTTTTTCGTTCAAACTTTATTTAAGCCGTATTCGAGGAATACGTTTTCTAAATAATTTATCTAGAAAACGTATTCCTTGAATACGTGATTTTTATTTTGTTCCACACCTTTTTTTTCTTTTCTTTTTTTTGTCCACTTATTTTTTT